CGCGGCAGCATCATGGAAACTGAGGCGGCGCTGCGGGCGAGTAGCTCCACGAACTTCGCTCTCCTTGTCTTGCTGGGCTTCCAGGTGGCGGTATTCTTCTTCTGGAGCAGCACCCGCAGCGACAACGTCGTTTTCGCCTTCTTCCTTGAGGCGGCGGGTGGGTCCTTCTTCTTGGGCTGCACCCCGATAGAGTAGGCCGACATATTTCTCCGCGCGGTATTGTTGCTCAGCTGCCAAGTGACGGTCCACTGGCGCGGAAGCAACACGAAAGCTGGCTGCGCTGGCAACAGCAGCCATAGTGGCAAGGGCAACGAACACTTTCATACTTGAGGGTTGGGGAGTACAGCGAAAAAGGCGGAATGAGCCAACGTTAGCAAGGCAACCATGTCGAATACAGACCATTTGGTTGACCACATTGCAGTGTTGATGGGGTAATGGGGTATCTTGGATTTTCGTTAATTTGATTGCATCGCACATAAGAGAAGGATTGAACTGCGCTGAAGTTCTTTTGATAAATAAAGTGCAATGTCGACATTGGTGCTGCGGAATGTGAGGTACCTCAAGCGAAAAACCAATGGCGAATGAGATTGCTGCTGTGAAACATCAAATTTCAACGCTACGAGTGTGACCCCAAACTGACTGTGAGCTGAAGTTCTTTTTATATATAATGGGAATGTCGACATTGTTATGAAAACTTGCATTATAACACCATTGATGTCAATTTGATTTGTCAAGTCACAGTGTCAATCTTCAACATGATTCGATACGCAAGTTGGACTCGTTCTTGGGGTTTGAAATGGTTAAGAGCATCTCCACAGGGAGATGCGGGAACTGGACGAAAACTCATCATAACACGAAGTTATGTAAGGCCAAAATCGAGGCATTTCTGGCGAAAGCAAATTCTGGAGTTTCTTCGGAGCCATCCAACTTGTTGGAGAGGGACTTTGGCTGCTGTACTGATACGCTTTCTATCGCTCGCTGCAAGTGTAGTGCTTGCGTATTCAGAAAATTCGCGCCGTTTCACACTGAACAAGAGGTCTACAGTGTACTGCAGTAATTGAAAACTGAGCAGTTCCGGATACTGCATTACATTTGCGGATGATATATTTTTATTACGCATAAACTTCGATGTCACTTTTCTCGAATTGTGTAATACTTAGCGCAATCCTACTAGTACTACAAGATAGTCCATTACTAGCTCAGCCTATGTAGCATGGTCTACGCATGTACAGCTCTCTCTGGCATAAGGCATCTTACACGCTTGTTCTTGATAAACGACGAATTTGGCAAGTTCGAAGTTGTCTTTCTCTACAGTTATTGATTCAGGCGACATGCAATAAGGTGTTGTAGATAGTATTGGTTGTTGTTATGAGGAGTGGAGAGTTTCGTGACCCGTTGTGCAGTATGCATTGAGAAATCGCTGACCTGCATCGCGCCTTTCCCGCATGTATCGTTTTGCAAAACACGAAAATAAGTATGGGGATGAATTAAAATACGCATACTTAATACAAATATCAGCATAAAGATGTTTCAAGCGAATAATAATATGTAACTGTCGTGCACATGCACTGTATACGTGTTTGACTCCGTGGAAGTGGCAGATCAGTTCCTGGTTGACTCGCATGTGACAGCTTGAATAAAGTTGCATGTATCCCCTCGACAATGGTACACCATGATTTGAAGGAGTCAAGGACCTTTAATTCTTCACAGTAATGTGTTTGTGTCCTGTTCCCGCATCTCCCAGCGCCTGCAAATTGCCAGCAATTACTTCGAAGTAAATAATATGGCAATGCAATTGCCAACTGGTATTTACAGTTAACTGTAAGAAATAATTGTAACTGCATGATGCATACGATAAGATCCTGTAACTTAGGCGGTACATCAATTAATCGATTAGGTATAGTGTAGTATTAGTAATACTACGTAGTATTGCTTTTGAATATCCAATTCCATATATTTATATCCAGATAGTTATTACTCTGGCGCTTACTCATGCCGTTGTAGTAGGCGTTCTCTTTCTACGCATCTACCTTTTTGCAATGTAAACGAAATTGCCATTCACTTTGCACATTTTGCAATCTCCCCGAAACCCCCCACCACCACATTCATCCCACAAGAGCGAAAGCGTCAGACACCAACATATTGCAGGTACAGTACATATATGATTGGATATGTTCGTACACTCACACATGTTTGATTTATTTACACGGTGGTGACATCTCACTAGACCCACAGGCTCGAGCAGATCCAGCACCGCAGCTCCTTCGTGGGTCCCGGTTCTCGGTACAGCGTGACGTAGCACGACGCTTCGACGCCGCATACGGCGCACACTGATCGTTTGTACCAGGGGCGGGGGGTGGCTTGGAGTGGTTCTGGCTCCGAGGGCGGCGTCGGCAACGGCAGCACCGCCACGGACGCTGTGTCGGGAACGTCCACCCATGGCAGTCTCATGTTGGACGCCGGGGGGCGGACTGCTCGAAAGACAGTGTCCACCCACTGATTGAGTTGGCCGAGGCCAATGGAGGAGGATCTGCCCTCTGGTCGACACGAGTTGGGGACTTCAACCCACGCGTGTGTGGGCGATGGTTGGGCCCCGGGGTGGATTGGTGGAAGCTCCGCAGCCGCACATTGGTCCACTCGGCGCTGTCGCCGCCGCTTGAGGCCAGAGATGATCACAGCGATTGCGAGGACCACCGACACACCCACGACCGCCACCCACGTCCAGTTAGAAGTTGAATGGGGGGGGGACTTTTCTTGTGGGGTCACCGTCGTGCGACGAAGGAACGTCTCAATTCGAGGTCGTTGAGATGACTCTTGAGGTTCCTCCGGACTTTGAACTTTCGCAGTCGTGGTTGGCAACACCGACTTCACACCCGTAGTACTACTACTGCTTGACAGTGTTGATGTTGTCTTAGTACTTGTGCTTTCTGGGGTGGTGGAAACTGGCCGCTCCGGTGTCGTGGACACTTGCGATGTTGCGACGGGTGTGTCGACAGTGACGGTCGGTGAAAGGGTCGTGACTACGCACCCGCTCGTGGTCGCCAGTCGCGGGACGCACCCAAGCACGAGAAGAGGGCGGTTGGGCAGCGCTTGGCAGCACGACCCAAACTCGAGACGAGGTTGTGGGCCTGGACAGACGCCAATGCGAGTGAGGTCGCTGCCCCCGCAACTGACACCTGAAGGGGCATGGAAGGTGCCCGGCACGCCGAGGACGCTGACGTCGATGGCGCGCACAGACGCAACAAGGGTCGTCGCGAGGGCGACCAGGATGCAGAACAAGACAACGGAGTTCATGTTGTAGTTGGTGTCTTGGTGTATTGTTAAGAAAAGAGAGAACTAACCACTTGGCAATTGCAACGCAAAATGGATTATGAGAGCTCAAGGAAGCCATAGATACGACGTACGTCCTTTTACGTGTAGACGGGCTCTGCGTGGTGCTACCTTTTGCATGGTTTGTATGGACGCTTCATTTGTGTGACGTATTGTCCAAAGGCCAAGTTGGCCATCCGATTGGCTAACCGATTCTTGGGTAGCCAATCACATTGCCACAAACACCTCGTGGGCGTGTACGGGCTCTACGTGGTGCTACCTTTTACATCGTTTGGAAGGACGCTTCATTTGTGTGACGTTTTGACCCAAAGGAAAAGATGAGCGTTGCGACCATCCGATTGGTTCAAATATGAAACGAATTTGTGGAGGGTCAATCACATTGCCATCCAGCAAATACCTAAAACAACACAGATTAGTGAAGGGATGGTTTGCAAAATCTCTCTATTGACTGGTGGCGCGGTCCGTTCCGACTTGATGAACAGCAGGGACAGCCACTACTCTAGTCAAAGCTTTGACTTCCACTACGGCAGCGGAATCTACCGCTGTTCAACCAGCTAAGTTCCAGTGTTTCAGGCGCTCCCTGCTACGATGCCTTCCCGACGTTTTCAGTGCTGGCGCCGCCCCTGTCGTCACCTTCAGTGTTCCATAACGAAAGCGGCAAACGTCAATTTTGATTTCCCTTAACGTTAGCCTGCCCACGACCAATGGCCCGGCGTCCAATGGTGGAGGTATGTCGTACCGTAATGTCGCTCCATGAGGCATTATCGCAGATTGCCATGATGCACTCCATACACAGTGTCGCAGAGTTTCCGCACAGTTGTGCTTTGGCCGGTGGTGGTCCGCTTGAAAGTCGTCTTTTTCGGGTGGTCAGTGTGGAAAATCAGTTCCCGCACGTTCAGCTCCCCCAAATGTGAATCATATACTGGTATACAGTAAGCTTCCATGTGACTGCTTTCGATGCAAACAACGGACAGGTGTGAATTCATACCAGCTCTTACTGTATCTCAGACCTACAGAGACATCGTAGTGCGATACAGTACAGCGAGGTGGTGTGCATCGAACTGTGCTAGTCCCAAAAGTCATATAAAACCCCCCTGCAATTCCAACGTTTCATAGTATCGTGTTAACAATCCAGCGTTTACGACGCAGGAGCGATCGAGTCGCGCGAGATGACCGAGTCTTCAGATCCGCGGACGGTGGACGCGGTGGACTCTCGCATCGCGCGCGCGTCCGTGTCCGCGAGGACTTTGCGGCAATGGTCTTGCACGACAACCTAATGTGTACATATAAGAAGACCACCCCACTATATATGGACGTAGTGTATATATATATCGCGGTGTACCTTGTAGCGGCGGGCTTTGAGCCCACTCAGGGACGTCAGCGCTACCGTCAACGCGCAGTACAAACCACTGGCGACCAGTGTCGCATACGGGGCCACCTGGATGCTCCAACACGTGCGGCCTTTGCTGTTGTCTCGGCATCGGGACAGTTGGTCAGCGTAAAA